TTGCTAAAGCTAGTTTTTCTTGTAGTGACTCCTTGCACTTAGGAATATTTGCTAGTAATCATCGATTAGTTTATTTATTTTTTTATAAATATCTTCCCTCTCTCTTATAAACATACATATATATATACATATATATATATATATATATATATATATAAAATATATTATATAAATATAAATACATATATATATATATATATATATATATATATATATACATATATATATATATATATATATATATATATATATATATATATATATATATATATATCTCTCTATATATATATATATATATATATATATATATATATATATATATATATATATATATATATATATATATATATATATATATATATATATATATATATATATATATATATATATATCGAAACCTGAAAACCAAACATAGCCTTAAGCCAGTCGAGAATATCTTCGTCCACTTTCTTCTTGTGGCCCTTTGGCCATGGTAGACCTCTCGTGTTACGAAGCGCAATAACCGAAGCTTGAATCTATTAACACGGAAGCTTCCGATTAATTTTATTTTATTTAAAAAAAATAGTATTACGAAATTTACGAAGAAAAAAAAAAATTGACCTCCGGGTATCTCATGATTGGTTGATGTGAACTCTCGGGGTCGAGCGGAAGTATATTATACGGCACGTATATCTGAGTCTTTTCCGTTACCTTGGTGTGTTTTTCAAGAATCTTCGTACAAATACGAATATAATGTTAAAAAGCGTTCGATAAATATTTCGGCAAAAAAATTAAAGGAAGTGAGTTGAAAAAATTCGAGATTATAAGTACCTCGTCGTCAACTTCTACAGCTTCTGTTAAATTAACGGCCTTTAGGACCTCAAACAGCACGGCGGCTGTTTGATAAGCTTTCGTAAGTCGAGCACTGTATCGAATAATAAAAAAACAATATAAGTTCAAGAAAATTAAAATTGAGAAAAATTTAGTGACGAAAAATTGAACGAACTAACCGGTCTGCTTTATCGGCTGCATTTTGCAAAGCCTCGATATACTTCCTGTAGTAATGCTGATAGAAGCTCTTCATTTCACGCGCATCGCTTCCTCTTTTTGCCGTCGATGTCGTCTCGTTTTCCTTGCAAATAATTTTTCATGTCAGAAGTCTGTCTTAACGAATTACTCCGCGTCGAAAGTTTATTTTTTTTTTTTGGCGGTGACAGTTAGAAATATAATGTACCCGTTCGAGGCGCTGAAGAAGGGCAGTTTTGAACTGGCGAACTCCTCGTCCACTAGACGTTGGATCGAGACGGTGAGCTTTTTCGAAGGCGTAGAATCGACCTGATTCCAAAATAGTCGTCAACTAAAAGATATATAAAAGCTTATAATTTCAGACAGCATCTTAATTTATTTATAATTTAATTTCCTCTCGTGCGAAGCAGGGAAATCTCAAACTGTGGTCTGCGGCGAGTAAATGTCTAATTTTTTTTTGCTAACTAGATGGAACTCCGTAAAAGATGAAACGATAGTCCAGAAATCGAAGAGTCAAAGATAAAGCAAAATAATGTGAAAACAGTGAGAATAGTAAAATAATCAGATTACATTACAGTTTTAATTAGAAATAACAACCAAAAATCCAGCTCGATTTTTATTCGGTGAAGCCCAATGACTATGCTTGAAGACGTTTTCACTAACAATACATTTCAATTTTCCAATATATGCTGACTCATTTTGACATAATTGGAAACAACATTCAGGAAATGAAACAGATAGTACAGAACCAAAGAGAAGCTAGACAACATTGAAAAAAAATTAATAATAATAATAAATTAATTAATTTTAAAAAAAAGATGTAATAATCAGCAAAATCAACTGCAAATATGAATTGCACAAAAAAATAATAATAATAACAATGCAGATGTATCACTACAGAATTATGGAAAGAATTTCCAGTCTAAATTTCTTGATAGTATGTATATTTTACTGTGGAGTTAAAAAAATCCCATTCGAGCGCAAAGTAGAAAAATTGGTTCAAAGCAGAAAATCGGCCTCAAGAAACCAGATTATGGAATCGAATGAAATGAAAATATACGAAAAATACAAACGGCGATCCATATTCTAAAGTATTCAGACAAATGAAAGTCACAATAAGGACTTACAAAGGTAAGCGACACGAGGATTGATAGGCTCGACCTCGTTTGCCACACGAAGAATCGGGGCAATCTCAACTAGAGAAGAGGGGACCACCTCACTATCCATCATTGATTCCCCTAAATTCCCGACTGTCTGAGTTCTCAGAATCCGCCTCTGCGGCTGCATATTATTATTCGACTCCCTTCTTTGATAAGCCATATTAATTATTAACTAACCCTAAACCCACAAACTAAACTTCAATCCACTTTAATTTGCCTGTCCGAAAATAAAAAAACATTAGGAAAAATCTCTTCAGACAAGTCATGAAATATTTCGAAAGATGACGAAAAAGATTCGAAACTACACGAACCGTTAAGCGGGCTAATTGGGTTGCATCAAGAATCCCTTGTTCGGGTTTTCGATGAAACAGCGGACTCATGTCCGAAAATAATTCTCTGCTCCGAGAGTGGAAAACCCTAAAGTATTAAGAAACCACACAAATTTCTGAAGAACAACAGAAATAAAAGTAAATAAAAAATAAATTAATCATGATGAATATATCTAAATACAATTTCAAGAATTTTTTTTTTTTACTATTTTGATTAATCAGACTATTGTTCTTGCAAAATACTATATAATCAAGAAACTGAAACAGAGAAACCATATAATCAAGAAACATTTGAAAAAAGGCAAGATTAAATAAACATAAATCAAGAAATCAATATTATTAACAGGAGAATTGAGAATTGAAATTACCATATGAGAAATCACCAAAAAAAAAAGCAGAGTGAAGTTTCTTGAAAAGCAAAAAACAGGGGTTTTCTCTGCTTAAACAGAGAGAAGCTTGTAGAAGAAATATCAGTAATTTATGTTGACTGTGTATGGAAAGGTAAATCAGATGATCTAGAGAGAGAAAGAGGAGAGAGAAAGAGGGGTGCCGTAAGAAAGAGACACCTAACCTTATTGAAAGGAAAGAGAAACTTCGCGGGTGACAACAACGGTAATAAAAATCAAAAAAAAAAAAAAAAAAATGCAACGGTAATAATAATAATTTAATATTCAACGGCTGGTCATAATTACGAAAATGGCCACGTTGCCTTTTTTTTAGCGGTTTAGGCTTTAGCTCTTGGGGTTTTTAGGGCATCTCCAATCATTCACAATTTCACCTGCTATCAGCTAAAAAAAGAAGGTTATAGCATTTTATAAGCAAAAAACCCACTCCAACGGGACATGTATATTTTAGCTAGCAAGCTAAATTCTGGTTTACAGCTGCTATGTATAGCTGGTGAGTATTCACAAATGTTAAACAAGAAAATATTAAAATAATGGCCACTAAGTTTTACTGTTCAAGTTCTTTCCCTTTTTTATATGATAAAATACTGACAGTACATATACACGACAATAAAATAATTCAAAAAACAATATAATAATATAAAATTGTAAAATATACATGCTATGGTTGGAATGAGATTGTAAAACACACATGGTATAAACACTATTGACTAGCTATAATAGATATACCAACTCACATTTTAGCTATTACCTTTGGAGATGCTCTTACTCATAGGTATTAATTATTATTACTAGGAAATTTGTTCAATAATCCTAAAATTATTTAGTTGTAGAAAAATAGGGAAACTCTAATTTTATAGTTCAATCAGCATGTACGATTGCCGACAACATTCGATTGCAGTCCACTGATACTCGAGACTCCGCCACGTGGGCAACTGATATCAAACACACTTTCTGACTTGCTCCTACGGAACCAAGGTCGAAATGATTGAAAAAATAAGTCATTCACAACCAGTGATAAAAGGACTCCTCGAAAAGTTAAGGATTGGTAATTATTTTTAGAAATCGAGAACGGAAGGTAAACAAACTTAATATCAGATAATTTTGATTAAAGATAAAATTGTATTTTTTTTCATATACAGTACAAACACACAAACACAGGTGTAGGGAATTTTTTTTGCTAAAAAATAATGAGTTTTGTTGCAAATATATGATAGAATACATACTCTCGTGCTCGATTTGATCCTCAAACATTTAATTTTTAGTATGTATGGACTATAATCAAATTTAGTTTTGCATGAGTCATTAGATGTTCAGTGAGATTTTAAGTTATGTTACGAGAGTAGAAATTTACTCAGTACATTATGGCTATAGTTTATTTATAAAAAAAATAAATAAAAAATAAGGTTCTAATTTTATTTTTATTTCACTAAAAATCGTAGTGAGATTAATTATCTTTATTGACTATTAACTATTAACTATTGAGTATTGGGGGCACTTGAAATAAGCTTTCAAAGAGGTACAAGAGCCACCTAAAAAATTCCTATTAATTAGTCATTAGGTATTCTAAATAGTAAATTTCGTTAGGTATTATAAATAGTATACTGAAAGTAGCAATTCTTATCTCGTGAAAAAGGAACATGTCTTGTCGTATACAATAATTAATCGATAATCACCCCAAAAACCCCCCCTGTGTTAATTCTAAAGACCAAAAACCCCCCCAGGATAAAAAAAGTGACAAAAACCCCCCTAATAAGTGTTCAAACATGCACACTCGACCCATTTTATTTTTATTCGTTGACTGTTCGTGAAAAGACAAATACACCCTCAGATAAATCTGTCCAACATCTAAAATTTTATGACCCAAATGAAGTTTATAAAATTTTCAATTCAGTCCCTAGTAGTTTCAATTAAGCCATCTTCCCCAAATGAAAAAAACACACAGACACACAAATACACACACTTTGATTTTAATTTTTCTGGGCACCTCACCCCACCCCACCACTGCCGTCGCCGGCTCCGTTCATGGACCAAAACCCCTCTCCGGCGACCAACCAAGCAGCCACGTCACCGTACGGATGCATCCACGTATCATCTTCTCCGGTTTCCCAAAAAATGGAGTATAACTCCAGATACGCATTCCCGTTTGCCATTGCCGTGGTTATGGAAGGTGGGTGGTTTTTATCTATTTAATTTATAATTTATAAATTCCAGAAAACCGGCTGTTTGACGTTGCCGTTAACCTGAAAAACCTGAGGGCTGCACTCCGGTTCGCCGTCGAACAGAAAAACGAGGAAGAGAAAGGTTTTGTGAGGAGAGATAAGGGATAGCTGATGATTCAGACTAACATGTGGTGGGAGTGATAGAAGGGGAACTCTGGTTAGGAGCTATACTTTGGTTAACGAGAGAGTTAGCTGACTCAGGCGCTAGGGATTGGTCCTGATGGCATGGATGAACTTTCTTGCTTTGAGCTCCCTGGGAATGGAAATGCAGATGCAGGGGAAGCCTCCCAAGCATTTGATCCTGGAACAGAAGACATTAGATCCAGCTTTGGGCTCAGTACCTCCATTAGGTCACTGACTCCCCATTTCCGTTGATTGGACAACCGGCCTTAACGGCGCTCCCTTAGCTTCTCTCGTTGGGAAGGGTCGGGTTCAGCCCTAACATTCAAGTGCAATTTCACACCCGACCCACCAATCATAACCCACCCGTTTTGAATCACCGACTTCCCCATATTCTCCAGAATACTCTTCAAATCCAACTGCACCGCCGACGGAGCCTAGAAGCTTCCCGCCGCTCACAAGCCCGCATCCGCCGCCGCCAGATACGCATTCCCGTTCTCCAGAATATAATTTATATTTTTTCATTTTGTTTTTTAATTTAAATATAATTACAAATTCATAAATAGTTTAATTGTTTTATGAGTGTAGAATCAGAGGGGTAAATTTGTCTTTTCATGCACAAAATGTATAAAAATCGCACAAGTAGTCGCACATTGGGCGAGTGAATGGCACGCACAAAAGTTAGGGGGCTGTATGGCTTTGACTTTTGATTACAGGGGAATTTTTGTCACTTTTTTTATCACGGGGGGTTTTTGGTCTTTAGGATTAACACAGGGGGGGTTTTTGCATTTAACTCTAAAAAATTCCTATTAATTAGTCATTAGGTATTCTAAATAGTAAATTTCGTTAGGTATTATAAATAGGCTTAATTTCACTTTGCACCCTTGAAATATACCATTTTGGCACTTTGCACCCTCGAAAAATAATAATAGCACTTTGCACCCTCAAAACACAATAAATCATTCACAATGCACCCTCAATTGAATGATAAAGGCAATTTTATTTTTCATTGGTGTTTTTCTTTCTGGGGTACAAAATAAAAAAAAATTGTTGTTTTCTTGAACCTCAAACCTAATTTCGAGCGGACAAAGTGCGAAAAAATAAAAATTACACCGGATTATTTAAAAAAAACTACATTATCTTACAAA